TGTATTATTTGGTTTGCTAAAATAATTTTGGATAAAATGAATAAACTAAACTCAATCTAACTGTAAATCGATGTTTAGTTTGCCTATTGTTTCATTGTTGTGTAATGACATATACACTAGTTTTTGATCATGTGTTGTCTTATAATTGTAACTGCTTGTATTTGCATTGCTTTGAGTATAACATAAACATAATTCAATAAATTCAAGACAGAACTGATTGACATAAAAAGACGTACATTATATTCAGAGACAAGACATTGTTCAAAGTAAAAGCAATGTGCACGGACTGAAATGAAAACCCACATAAAGCCAATCTGAATTAAAGTATGAATCTTAATGTGGAGTGTATGGGAGTTGTTCATTTGACAGACAGAACAGGGTTGCCATCTTGTGGCAACAGTTGGGAAAAACAAAATTGCATCACCCCTAAAATTCAGATTTATTTGATCCCTGGTGAGTGTATTCTCTTTATTTATTATTCTCTTTATAAATTTAGATTGGGGTCAGTCAGTTAAGATTCATTTTACACTTGATGCCTCTAAGATCAAAATGTAGGCTACTCGTTTTGCTGTAGCACTTACTATCAAACACTGCCTAATAGCATCCAGAGATGTTATAAGAATTCAAATCTTTGGAATAGTCTTGCTTGCATCTGCTATATTGATTCAATGCTAAAAACACAAAATCATGAATTCATTTCTGAAATCATTTTATTTATACATTTCCACAGAGTGATGTCAAATCAATACGGTCATTTGAGTACTATTGCAGTGTTTTAGCATCTACACCTTGAGTGACTGTCATCAGCAATGTGCAGTGACTTTTTAAAAGTTGGTCTTTTTTTATCCAGTACACATGTGTATAAAAATCAATACGAATTGTGAAAAATCAAATGTGAACACCAAGGAAATGTCTGTGGAAACATGGGAATACGACGGCACGCAGAGGAAGGGAAAGTTTAGGACAGACAGTGTTGAATATTTAAAAAGGACATCATTTCCAATATATGAAAAAAAAAGCTTCCATCTTAAAGCAGCAGCCAGACAGGAGACTTAAGAACCACAGAGCTCCAAGGCTCTGGAAGATCACCGTCTGTGCTTCACCTCATGAATTTGGGCAACTGCTCAGTCGCCAGAGGGAAGAAATGAAAGAATCCGGAAGCGAAGAAGGAGAATTTATGTTCAGATGGTTTAGTGATATGTTAGATGTTCACCGGAGAGTAAAGCACAGACACTAAAAACAGTATATAGTATGGGCAAATATGGGATTGCTGCAACATCTACTGACCAGTGAGCAACTAAAGGAATCCGCTGGATCTAATGAAGATCTTGTGCCTTGTCAAATTCTTATGTTTGTGATGGCAGTCACAGTTCAAAATATGTCAATAAAACACAACAATATATGTCACCAAATGAATTTTTAAGCACCATTTGATAAGCAAAGGCATGCATGAAGTATTTAATGAATTTGCCGCAGCATTAGACATGGCAGCATTGTGACAGTCAGCCCTCCATGCTGCCTGCACACTCACGTCTAACAAGATCACTTTGTTAAAAAGCTTCACGATTTAAAAAACAAAACAATTCAAAGCTCAACAATGTTTTCCTTGTGTGAGAGTGTAATTTGTCATCATTTTCTTTTTCCCAGGAAAGTCACAACTCAGGATTAGCTCCAGGGCAGCATCACTACATCACTGATATCAAGAATTATGAAACTTAAGCACGAACTTTTATAAAACTGAGAGGGATTGATTTCACAGTCAATTAGAAGTTTTGGTTATCTCCTATGCAGCATTATATGCTACATAAAAGATAGAGATAAATATTACAGCCAACGTAACATGGGGCATCAAACGCTTCACCAGATGTTGAAAAACCAGAATGTATATACATCACTGGTTAATTATAGATATTATGGCTTTACCAGATTCGTTTGAATGGATGTGCTGTAAGTGAACTCAGATGTAGATTCCATATTCCCTTTGAAGCACAAGAGAGTCAGCTGCGTGAGGTTTGATCTTGTGCTGAAGAGGATGCAAAATCTAAATTTGATGCTCTGGTTTTCACTACCCAGCATCAGCAGGTGAAGGCAGACACACACGGTTGCATATCTGGAGGATGAGGCAATTACTGTTGTTATATGTTCAATAGCTTTAAAACGTACCATGTTTCTATTTGTCATTCACTAAATGCTCTTATGATTTAGAAAGAGTAAAAAAAAAAAATGTGGACAGTGGAAATGTCCCAAACTGACATGCTGTGGGTGTTTTGGTTAATCAGTTAAGGGCTAAACGGTTCTTTGAGGTCTCATTAAAGTGTCCTTTTGTGGAATCAGTTCAGTCTTTTATTCTGTCTGAAAAGTCAAGGGCTCAAAATCCAAAAGGGCAAAATTGTGTGTGTGTGTGTGTGTGTGTGTGTGTGTGTGTGTGTGTGAGTGTGATGGTGGGGGGAATGTGGAAAAAAACTTTCATGACACAAACCGTGTAAGGTGTGGAAAATGGGTAAATGAAATCTTTCTAGCACACAACTCATGACGTCACGTGGACGACCCAGTCAGGGCTTACGCTGAAAGTCTTTGTTCAGCTGGCTTCACCCCACCAAAGGACGTGTTTCACGTCACATGTTTCAGTGTGATTCGTTTTCATGCTAAATGCTAATTTCAGAGTCCAGACCTGAACGGCTCAATATGTCAGAACTAACTGATTTATTGAGAAATGACCTTAAATTTGACTGAACAAAAGACACTGGTGGATGAAGGTGGATCATATAAGCTAAGACTGCAAGTTAACATTTTGATGACCAATACAACACAGATGACCTGAGACGTCTGTGTTTTGAAGGCAGGGTTTATAGTCATGATTTCCAGGACTTTTTCTCTTTAGGCTATTTTTCTAAATTTTTGTTGATGTCCACGCTCTAATACAGACAATGTTGTTTATTTTAGTTGATGTGGAACCATATTAAACAAGCCTGAACAGCTACATGTGTCAAAATTAAGGCAGGGTCATAGCACCACCTATTGATTCGTCTCAATTGGCCTCAAATTGGTCACGCTTAATTAGAGCCCCGACCTGAATGGATTTATTAGTCTGATGTATTGACAGCCCCACCTGCTGGCAACAGGAAGTAAGCCTTGTTTTACAACTTTAATTCGATTTACCTTGTGGTCTGCACTTGATGGCATGGAATATGATGCGTGATTGGTGGGCGTGGTTTGGCGTTGCTTGAAGGATGCAGGAAGTGAAGCGTTTATACCTTCCCATGGTGCACAACACCTTTCGCCCAGTCCCCAAAGCACCCTCCCCTGCGACTGTATCAGGTCTCGAGTTAGCAAATGCTCAGGCTAGCTCAGTGCTGCCTCGCAGCCCTAGTTTTACTTTATTACCATTCACATGTGTGGTGTATATATATACATATGTTTAAAGAAATTAGTTAACTAGTGTTGTTACCCAAATTCACTTCTTTTCAAAATGAAAGCTCTGTAATTCAGCTCAATATTGGCCCACAAGCTGAACGCACAATCAACGTGTCTACTTCCAATGGCCTGGTCACACAGGATATGGAGAGATAAATATTCCATCACATGTTATTATTTTGTCAAGCATGAGACACAACACTTGCAATGCAATGGTGTTAACGTAATTAACGATACTTTATTTCATTTGTCTGTTCATGAAAACAAGTCAGTTATGGTCAAGTATACTGTGAGATACCTTTAATTAGCTGTGTTTACACTAGTTATCAGTCAATTAGTATTCTATAGCTGTGTCTCAATTCAAGGGCTGCATCCTTTGGAGGACGTGGCCTACTACACAAAGTAGTAGAACTGTATTCTTTCATGAGCTTGCCTCGACTAGAAGGCCGAACCAAAATGAAACAACCTTGTGTACAGATGATTTCCGTGGTCGGCATTGCCAGTTCATCGCACTGTAAATGCTGTTGCCTAGCAACAGAGCTGAAGTTGGACAGAATAAGAAAGTTTTCATGCCCCTTGGTTTTTTAATATGTGTAGTTTTAGCTGTTCGGTTGAGTTGAAGCATGATATTCGTGTCACTTGCCAGTCTTTGAAAAGCGCTTCGTCAATGAATTGCAGTGAATCTTGGAATAGGTTGGGAAGGATCCACTCCACTGGAGTTCTTTGGGGATGGAAGGACGCATTTGACGGCAGCATTTGAAAGAGCCTTGGAAAAGAAACAGCCTAGTTGCGCCGCTGTGGTGTAATCAGTCTCAAAATGTCACCTAAAGGATGCAGCCCCTGAATAGAGACACAGCTAATGTTTTATTGGGAGCCTTAAACTGGAACAGGTTATCGAGAACATCTGTGACACGCTAACTCTTCAACTTGGTTGGACTAAAAAAATCAGGGTATGTCTATATTGCTTGATGTTACTGAGAGGAGTTACCTAATACAGCTTAGCATCTTCTGAAGAGGTTGAGTGTCGGTGTCCACGTTTTCCTATTATTGCTATAAAATCAAAATTTGCCATATTGTTTCTGTTACCATTAGATTTGGAGTGTATGTATTTTCATCTCTGTTATGTGGATATTGTCAATCATGCTTCTTTGTGGTTTGTAACTGGTGTAAGTATCTGTACACATTATTGTAACTGGTATATTTCCGCAGTGCACATGTAGTTTGCTCACCTATTGCTCCAGTAGCTATAACACTAGGTCAGAGAAAAGTCCCCTAAAAAGGTTCCAATCACTGGAACAGAGCTAGATGAACCTGCATTTTCCCTTCACTGCAATATTTTGCAGTTTTTAACATGTGCCATTATTTTTCATGATTCTTTTTAGCCCCTGAGTCCTTTATACTTTATGTCAGTCTGGTGTGTATTGATGAGTTTCTCTGGTGTTACATGTCCCCATTTCTGCTTTTATTGATCATTTTTTATAGATTTAATGAAACATTTTAACTCAATGGGACCTTCCTGCTTAAATAAATAAGTGAATAAATATTGTCATGTTCATTAAATAATAATAGATTCAGCAAAAGCAGAACTATTATAACCTTCATGACCTTAGGGTGCACAGTGAATGCATACATTAAACACTATTAGACTGCAAGTGCTTATTACATAATTCTTGTTTTTTAAACTCAAAGTAATGTCAGTACTCAGGAGATAAACATTTCTTGCTTCTTTCTACATTTCTTGGTAATATAGAAGCTGGACAATGTCTGATTAGATCTGGAGCTGAACAAGTTGTACAGATAATGAGATTCCTCAGAACTGTGCTTTCAGTGTGACCCATGCTACTAAAAGACATAATACTTACTTTGATTTCATTACATATATATATTTTTGTAATATAGCGATTGCATTATTTGATGTTAGACCTTTTTGTGCCAGGAAAGTGAAAGTGTCTTTGGAGTGAGAGTTGCTTCCAAATCTTGTCTGCATAGTCCATGGTGACCTTAGCTCAGATCATGAGACCCTCGATTATCTCCACTGATGTCACAGGATCAGCTGGCGCTTGGCATCAGCTGTTAGATAATTTGAAATTGATTTGCATGTTGATCAGATGCTCTGTCAGACATTTAAGGATTTTTCAAATAATTCCACATCTCTGTCTACCAGTAGTTATACAGTCACATGGAGGAGATTAACCACAATACAAGAAACAAAAAACTTTGAGGGAGAATTCATCCAACTGTCAAAAATGGGGCAAATGAGGGACAAACTTGACGGCACTTGGAAACACTAAGTGCCAGACTACCAGAGTGAATACCATCGGACATAGCACTCCATTTTGGGCCACTCACACTTTTCTCATGCAAAACCACTTTCTCCACTAATGCAGCTCCACTGCTGCTGATGCACCTATAAAAAACTGAACAATTATACTTTGCTGTGCAACTGTCAATGGTGAAGCTACATTTTATTAGTTGAAGTAAAAGGGAACCTAAAGGAAGTCTGATGAGGAGAAATTCAGGTAGAAAGAACAGAAAACTTCTACTACTATGAGTTCCACGACTACTTTTACAACTACTACTACTACTAATAATAATAATGATAATTATAATAATAATAATTACAAAAAAAATGTTTTCTGACAAAGTCAATCATAATTTTCTATCAGTTCAATTTCATAAAGTGTGCAATAATGTGACTCTGCATATACTTAATTTCAATTGTACATATTTCAATTTTTTTGTTCCCTTTCTTTTTATTGTATTTTTCACTGATTTATTGTCTTCACTGAATGTGTATTTAGTCCCTCTTTGCTGTTGTAAGACAGTTAATGTCTCCATAGCAAAGGAATATCTTATCTTCTCTTCACACCCCATTTTGACCTCTGTCCAGTGCCATAACATTCATATTTGTGCCGCCCCATGGTGGGCACTGGCCACCCCTACGAAAAAGGTCTGACTCCGCTACTGTCCAATGGGAACATGTGCTTGATAGTTTGACTGAAAAGGTTTCGACAGTGCCTGAGGGCTTCTCATCGGCTTTAAAAACCAGCAACACTCCCCTCCCCTGACCACTGATCCTACAACTCACAGCAGAGTCTAAACCAACTGTGTCCTGCAGCATCTCTCCTTGCAAGCAGTCAGAATGGAGTTTCACTACGCCACCGAGATGAACGGAAATGTGGCCAAGGTCTCTAGATTGAGCAAGTGCATTGAGTCTAAACAGGGTGATTTAGAGGAGAAAGCCTCAAAAGAATCTGAAGTTTTAACCAAGACGTCTTGCATAGAGAAAGCTTACTGCACGATACTGAGCGAGCTTGGAGAGAACACTGAGCGGGAGGGGCTTTTACGCACACCGTTACGCGCAGCCAAAGCCATGCAGTTCTTCACGACAGGCTACCAGCTGACGATCAAAGGTGAGTACGCAAAGGACAACATTCAGTAGCGGTGAACATTTTAGATCTCGATGTAACAAATCGTTGCAATTATATCTTGTTAAGGCGAGTTTAACATGTATGCGCAACTTTACGCAAAGGCTCGACACCATGCCCATAATTAAAAGTGAGAAACATTTAATAGCGAAAGAGAACAGTCCTTGTCTCAGTGAATTTAATCAAGAATTGAAGACATTTCAAGTGTAACGAGTATTTCTATCACACAGATATCTTGAACGACGCAATCTTTGATGAAAACCACGATGAGATGGTGATTGTCAGGGACATCGATTTGTTCTCTCTGTGTGAACATCACCTGGTGCCCTTCTTTGGAAAGGTAACAGAGCTTTTCAGGCTCTTGGGGAAGTGGGGGGATTTTCGTGCTTACTCTTTTTGTTCTTACAGTGCGCTTTGTTTCATTCTGTCAGGCTCACATAGCATATCTCCCAAACAAGAAGGTGGTGGGTCTGAGCAAGCTCGCACGGTGAGTGATGACTAAAAACACACTCTCTCATTCTCTCCCTCTCCCTCTCTCTCTCACACACACAGAAACACATTATTCACTTTGGTTTCTTCATTTCCAGAGTTGTAGAGATCTTCAGCAGGAGGCTTCAAGGTAAAACACATCATGTCTGACTCTACTTTTGTTTTCATGATCTTTCCATGTCTTTTATTTCTGTTGCTTAAGCTGTGTTGTTTCCTCTCCACAGTTCAGGAGCGTCTAACCAAACAGATTGCAGCAGCTATACATGAGGCCCTGGAGCCTGCTGGAGTGGCAGTGGTGATTGAAGCCGCGTGAGTTTGAACTCTTTCAGCCCAATACACCTGCTTGTCATTTTCCCCGTCCATACCTTTTGCTAATGTAAAAATGGATTTGGACAGATCCTAATTGTAGTTCATCTCATTTGTTAAAATAGAACCCTGTTTTGAGCCTAACACACTCCACACTTGTTTTCATTTGGAGACAATCCTCCAGAACTTTCATCACACATATAAGGGGGTTTTACTGAATCATTCCTATTCATATTATATGATTATGCCAAATGAGGACATATAAGTCATGGAATGACCCTTGAAAGTTTAGATCTAAAACTACTGTATAATTTTGAGTTTTAGAACAATCTGTTTGAAACTATATACAATACAAAATGTCATATAGCCACTGAGAGGATTAGATTAGATTAGTGACCTACACTCCTGTAAAAGTGTTGCAACACAAAGTCCTTCAGTATAAATCATGTGCTTTGGAATTTAACGCTAAATTAAACTGTCTCTTTCATTTTCAGTCACATGTGCATGGTGATGAGAGGTGTGCAGAAGATGAACGCCAAGACTGTAACAAGTGTCATGCTGGGAGCATTCCAAACAAATGCCGAGACCCGGGAGGAGTTTCTGTCCCTGGCTCTGGGGAAATGAATGCTTCTGATCTCAGAGAGCAAGTCCTCAGGGGATAAGTCCACTTTTATTTTGTTTTACCGTGCAACACCGCTACAGTTAGTTTTAAAAACCTACATTCACTGACCTTAGCTCAGAGACTGACAGATGTACAATCCGTTTTACCATTATGCACGGCAGCTAGCTGTTTTTTTCTTTGGCTCCTCTCTGCACAGAATAACTTGATCCAGTTGGTTTCTGGTTGTGTTCAGGTGCCACTTTTACTGGTCTTTGCAACCCCCATAGACTGAATAGGCAACACCTTGAAGATGGAGGGAGGGGGAGGTGTCTGTGGTGAAACATTTGTTTGGGTCTGTGATGCTAGTGCAACATCTAGTTGCAGTGAATATCATATAAATAACTTTTAAAGTGATGTGTAATTGGTGTTTCAATCATATTTCACACTGTTAGAATTAAGATTTTATTACAATGATTTAAGTTTGAAAAATTTTAATTTGTTTTATGCTGGAATGTGGAATAATATACTTATTATTTGCTGAAGAAACAATATGAACCTATGCTATGGTGCTATATGGTGCTATGTTTGATCACGATGAATTGTATTTTCAAAACATTTTGAAATATTTATCTGTCTGTACAGTCAAATTACACAGATCAATAAAAATGATAACTTTCTGCCTATTACTTTCTATATAGTTTGTTTTTTGATTTGTCTTTTTTCATTGAGTGTTTATGGCTCAGAGTGAATGGTTTTAAACCCAGTTTTAAACCCATGGGCATAAACACGCATCTTATTTTACCTTACTTTAAATAGCTGTGTGGTGTTAAAGTGTTCCTTTTAGTATCCAAGTAAAAGAGGTGAGGGACATTCAATAAACACAAATCTGCCAGCAAGTGGCGCTAATGCTCCACAACTCCCCTGTACATCCTGGGCAGCAGTATAAAGAGTGATTGAAAAAATGTCATTAACTTGAAAAGGCTGAAAATAAAAATAAACCTTCTAAGACCTGCTCAGAGGATAAACAGCATAAATCAACACAGAGGACGAGTGCACTCAAAAACACCTGAGCTGAATTCTGTTGACCTGCTTATCAAGTCAAACCTGTGATGTCTGACCCATTGTCCAAGTTAAACCCTCCGAGCCGACGTATTAACACAGTAAACACATTTATTGAGAGGAGGGGAGCATCAACGGGAGAATGCATTGGTGGCTGCGGCACTTCGGTCCTGGATCCTGAGGGTGGACCTTCACACAACATAAGCAAGCAAAACTGTCTGAGAGGAAGAGAGGGCCGTTCACCCTGCAATCCACTGTTCGGTTCAGAGAGACAGTTACACATCGCAGGCTGGGACAGAGAAGAGGAGCACCATGTACATTAAAGCTTTTAATCAATCATCATGTCTGACTTTGAAAAGAGAATGAACAGAAGTCATTTCACAAGAGTTGGCACCTTTAATTAATATGTTTTTTAAGTAAAAAAAAAAAGACTAATAGCAAATGCACATACACAAGCAGAACTGATAGTTTGGAAGTGTGGTTGGCAAGAAAAGCTTCATCCTGACCTCAAGTGTGATAAACATGTAGGCCACAAACCTTTGTTGCATAAAACTGATGTTTTAACCTCCTCTCTAAATCTTGTAAAATGCCATACAGTATATCGTCTCCATTTCTGTTTGAAAAGTTGTAGAATGTGACTTTATTCCAAAGATCAATGAATACTTATGGAATCTACATGTTCCTAAAACTGAATTGGGACATGGGACCTTATAACTCCGAATGTAATTGGTTCAAATGGTTTATACAAACTAAGTTGCATCAGCTGCTCATAAATATATCTTTTTAAGTTGTTAGATAGTTCTTGTTAAGTTCTTTGTAATTACTAGATAGGTTCAGTTGCAAGGCTACATTACAAACTATATATTATAATGTTATAAAGCTACTGTTACAATGGGAGATATAATGAAGCTGCCAAAGGTTACAGTCTAATGTGACCAAGGGGTTTATTAAAATTGTCCAATTCACTGTAAATGTAGGTGTGTAAAAGGCACGTCAGATTAACACTTATACAGTTTAGTGACTTTTGATTTATGCTATTATACATTCATCAAATACTCCAGCTAGATTATTCTGTGGTGTATTGTGTTGTTTTTGTGCAGTTTGGTTTAAAATCTTCTCAATTTATGTGACTATTTCAAATAAATCAATATTTAAGTATCAGGTCAGATGTCAACCATACGAAATATTTACAACTTGTACTCCAGAGTAAACATAGTGTAAATATTCAGTGACAACTATTCTGTATGTAAGTATCCACTACAATGGTTTCTGTTCAGATCTAGTGATGTGTAAATGCCCACAGGAAAATTTGAATTCACAAACAGCTGATGCTACCGACTGAAACTGCTCCTTGTTCCCTTTCAAAACTATTTATATGTGTTTTCCAGTTTGCAGGATTTGATGGTGAGGTTGTGTGCTATACTTTACTTTTGCCTGTTGGACCAGTGTGCGGTCATCTGTGCTTCAATCAGTCTTTTTTTTACTGGGAGAGGGACTTTGTGCAAAAGCAGAAAAATGTGCTTCGTTGTGCTGGGAGATTGAGAAGTGGCGTAGCTGTGCTTCATGATGTGCATTCCATTTACAGTACTGGGTAATTTTAGCCACTTGATTTTGATCAAAGTGTGTGCATTTGATTCTTTGGATGTTGGATATGAATAAGTTTCATTTCTAAAACAAGATCTCTCTTCTTCTCTCTTCTGAAATTTCTTAAAGGCGATTAAAGGATAACACATTATTGCAAAATAACAAAAGATAATATTTGCACATACTGGATGATCTCTAGTTTAGAGAGAATCATAAACTCTGGATAATATATGTTTTAGAAATGGATAATAAACCTTTTTCATTTTCTGATGAAGCGCTCAGCCCCAGTCTTATGTTACAGTATGATTTGGCATGCCACACTATAAAATGATGGGCTTTTCATAAGGCAAAAAAACACAAGACTCTTAAACTTTAAAATATTAAAGTTCTAGGTCCAACATCTGTTGTTTGAATAAAACAGAACTTCTGTCCCCTACACACTGCAAAATATGGAGTGGTTTAAATTGCAGGTCCACGAATGACATATAGTTGGAGCCAGACCCCAACATGTAGGAAGATAAAAATGTAGAATCTGGGCCCTTATGTCCAGAAACATTTCCTGGGCACCGTCACAGTGTCAACTCATTTATATCAGCTGCAGTTTTCCTCTCAGATTCTATCATATCAAATTCACAAATCAATAATCAAACTTTCAAAACGATAAAAATCATATGAACTCAATAAATGTAGCATTTTCACTAAAAACTGAAGAGCCATTTTGTAGTTTTTTTTGTATGACAGCATACAACAATTTTGTACAGGAAAAATGATTAAAAATGGTTATAAAAGAAGGTACTTTAGAGGCTAAAAGTCTTTAAGAAGAGACCGACTTGGGTTTTGTGCTCCTTTGGTTGTAAAACTGCATCCTCAACCCCAGTGGTGGAAAGCAGGAGAGAGAGTTAGGGCCTGCCAAGAGCACTGCAGCTTAAATGTAGCTCTTGCTTTGTCCGTTTCAGTCGTCTCTTATGTCTCACTGTGCTGTCGGTGCATTTTACTTCTGTCTGTCTTTTGCCTTCAGTCCAGGTTTGGTTTGTGGTTGGCTGCTGAATGATCTCTGTGTTTATGCATCACGTGATCAGACAGCAGTTGATGCAGCGAGGTCCCAGTCTTCTCTTCAGAGTTCCCTTCTTTCTCTTGGGAGCCAGAATGGCGATGATAGCCTCGTCGAACACCGTCTTCAGGCCCTTCTGGGTCAGTGCTGAACATTCCACATAGCAACATGCACCGATCTGATGACAGAGGACAGACCATCAGTTAGAAAACAATTTATCATGCAGTGGTCAACTAGCAGCTATTTTAAGTTACTTAAAGGTACAGTGTGTAGAATTTTGGGATATCTAGTTTTGAAATTGCATGTTGCAGCTGAACACCCCTCACCTCACCCTCTCCTTCCAAACATGAAAAAGAGCCTGTGGTAGCTTCAGTTGTCATAAAAACTCAAAAGGTGTTTAGTTTGTCCAGTCTGGACTAATGTAAAAAACATGGTGGCCTCCAAAGAGAGGGTCCCCTCGATGTAAATATAAAGTATTTAAATATAAAGGGCCCTTTCTGGGGTCAAGAAAACTAYARTTCATACAATTTAKATGAAACRAACTAGTGAAAACATCATGAAGATTATTCTATATTAAATATCTGCCAATAGTTCCCTTTCACCTAAATCACTGGACATTTAAGTCACGTATGTGTCGGACAAAAACCTGGGAGCAGTTGTCAGGCAACTGTAGTTACTGGTACCTACCAAGAAATAGTCTGACATAACAACACTGCGGCAGTGGACCATGCCACAGGGCTCTCACCGCAGCAGCCAGAGACAAACCACTCTGGTTTAAGCATTTTTATTAAATCCAAACTAAAGTCACAAAACACTTAAAGAGTCCAGCACTTTGCCGCTGGTGTCTGGATTTTCAGCTCAGACTCTCTCCCATGTGTCTCTGTTCTCTGCTCAACTGCTGCCTTTTAAACCTGAGGGTCAATCAGCTAACAGCTCTCACCTGCACTGATTGATCCTCTGCTGCAGGTGAAGGTGCTCTCCCTGCACCCTCACCTCCACAAACTCAAAGTGCACCACAGGTTTTACATTTTATATAGACTAAATAATTATATGTTATTTGGTGAATGTTTCAATCATAGACTCTATATATATATAAATGGACTCACTTCCTCCCTCTGTCAGGAAATAAAGTAAAAATGTCCTGAATGCCAACATGTTTTCGCATCAGTGATCAAGTGATGTAGCCGTGGTAGCGAGGTCACATTGATACATGCGCTCGACCAATCCTGAGTTAGTCTCAACTGTCAATCATAATGTTTCACACGAATTCTAATATCAAGTCGAGTTAATTCATAAAGGGCATTTAAAAACAACCACAGTTGACCAGTGTTTAAGATTCCTTAAATATCAATATGAGTATCAGTATGAGAAACAACATCTGTTACCTGTCATAACATCAAAGCAGCCACTGGAAAAACGTACAGGAAAATATCTCTGTGATAACTACCTTGATTTTTGAGTTTGGTCCATGTCCCATCCACTAACATGAAGGAGGCAGAGTTTATGACCTATACTACAGCCAGCCACCAGGGGTCAATCTAGATCCATATTTATCTTAATTTCGGTTCTTATTTTCGTAGTAAGTAACATGTTAATTAAGTTTGTCTCTCTGTTCACTTGTCAGTCAGCAGGATTACACAGAAAAAAATTGATGGATTCCAGGAAACCTGGTGGAACATTTCCTTTTTCTTCAGATTGTGAGATTGGGAATTTTACATTTTTGTTGATTTCACAGAGAATAATTCATGGGTCTATTTCGGGGACCTATATTTATGCCTATGTGCAATTGGGTGATATCTAAATAAAAATCTGGATCCAGTGAATTTGAATATTGTTTCATGAGAGGATTATTGGGTCTTGGCCTAACAATGCGGAACAGTTTTCCAGTACATTTGATTAATAAGAAATTAAATCTGATTTGCAGATGCATGTAATTAGCCATCCGATTTTAGGCTTTCCCCATCTGCAGAGTGCAGTTCAATAGATATGACACGTAGACAACATGATAGTTTAGCTCATCTGACGGAAATAGGGGGACTATATTCCTAGGCAAGAAATAGTCTGGGAGTGGTTTTTACATTTTTGGCACAAGTTAAACAGATATAAATCAGATGTGATGTGTAAATCAGGGAGCTTTAGAAGTGCTTGTACGTGGATTTTCTGTCCTTTGGACAAAGCCAGACCAGCAGTTTCCCCGTTTCTGTTCTTTACGCAAAGCCAAGCTAAAGCGCAACTGGCTCTAGCTACAGTGCACATTTACTTTACAGATCCAACTCACAGCAATCAAGAATAAGCATAAGTGGATCTAAAAAATATAATTCCCTAGAAAAATTTTGAAAAACTGAGGAAGGTGCTGAGGAAAGTGAAAAAAAACTCCAGTTCTCTATTCCTCATGCAAATAAACAAACAAACAAATAGACAGGGTTTAAAATATGACCTCCTGGTGGAGGTATTAATACATGAGAGGCACGAACCTGGGCTTGTATCACTTTCAGGACTTCTAATCTTAATATAGATTTACATAGAAGACAGTGTCCTCCATGGTGACAACATAAGATGAAATGACACTTGCATTTAATCTAATTACTTTAGGAATTGTCAGATTATTGTACATGGACCCATGTGGCCTTAGAAAAATCAAGACCCTCATGAGACACTAAATCCATCCAAATCCTCTTCTGTGCTTCCAACACTTCATGGATATTTGCCTTGCAATGACTGGACTGTAATTTTTGAAGGGTTGACTCATATATTCATGGTTTCTGTTCTGACAGGAACCATTAATCACACACTGGACTCTGCTGGACATCCCTGTGGACCCAGCATGTATTCCCGGACCATTCCAGGCAGAATAATCTACAACTACAATCTAACATTCCAGCAAAGACAATTCCTGCATCAAGTCAACTAACAAATAACTGGACTTGACACCGCAATTCTACAACACTCACAGTGAAGATAGAAACTTCTCCTCTGTTTCTCTAGCTACGTAAACAAACGTACAAACCTCCTTTGCCAGTTTCTGTCCTTGCTCAGTAGCTATGGGCTTCTCCTTCATGTCGTTCAGTTTGGCAATGGTCTTGGGGTCATCACGAAGGTCAATCTGAAAGAGATCAATCAATCAATCAAAACTTTATTCATAAAGCACCCTTCAAACAAATCAATTTTAGTTCAAAGTGCATTACAAGCGATTGACAAAATGTAATACTAATGTAATAAGGGTTAACCCTAACCCTAATGTACTACATTTAGAGACCAATGCACTCATACATTGTAAAAGATTACAAAGTAACTGATGGTAAACAAATAAAATGTTAATAAAACAAGAGAGAGAGAAACAATAATTCGAAGAAAGAGATTGAAATAGATATTAAAAAGAATAACAAATAAGATCATAATAAATAAAACCAGTGTAAATTCAAAATTTGAAGCAATTACAATTCTACAAATTATAAAATGAGATGAGGGATTAAAGTCAAAACTGCTACAGTTTTAATATGAATTATGATGAAATACTGGTTGTTTCCATGTCTAATGTATTAACATGAAATCAGTTATTGCAAAACACACAAACAACCATGAGTTGAGTCAAAGAGCTTCACTGTATAACTGACATTGCTTCTCATTTTGAAACAAAACCACGTTGGCCCACACTTCCTGCTCTGATGCAAAGCCATTTCACCACACACAAGGTTCCTCACTCTTCTTTTATTCCCTGCAACGCCGGGCAACAAACAACCTTTCAGTAATAACCCGTTGTGCTGAATGCATCCATCTGCTCAGTGCCACCAGGAGGAAACCTGCAGTAAACAGTATCCTAATTGGTGTGATCTGTGTTAGCAAGGCTCACTGTTAGGAAGTAACAGCAGCATCCACCCCGAACAGCGGTGAGTGAGTTATGACCAGAGCTGATAAAAGAGCAGTAAACATCAGCTGACACAAGATAGATCAGACACCCACTGCATCCTCCTCACCACCACTGGGTCTCGCCTGCACTGGCATTTGGTTGCCAGGGAACACAGAACAAAACTCACCCACAAGTCAGCTCTGGTTTTTAAGAGGACGTGTTGCTTTTAAGGCTTCAGAAATCAGCTTTCTCTCTAAGTTTAATAATGCAGCCTTTGAAAACCATTAGGCCATCAGCATTTTTGCACGATTGAATTGCTGGTTTAAAAAAAGAAGATAAAGGAAAAACATTCAAAACATTTCAATATATCTCTATTAGAGCCTGACCAATTTATCAATTTATCTTGTCTTAATACAAGTTCTGCATATTTAGATATCAGCCCTCAGTTACATTCCTTTGTCATAAGGGTTTGATAACAACATCTTAAGAATAATTTATTAACCAATATATCAGTATCGAAAATCTTTTATGATCTAATTTCAGTATCGGCTACAGAAAATCCATCTTGGTTGGGCTCTGATATTGATATGATGCTCATGCATAGAGAAGGCATGTCTGATTTGACCTTTACTGTGATAATCAATTAATTCAAATTTGTATTGTGACTACATATTTATTACCATATGTCCAAACCCTGTTGTTTGTTAAAAACAATTTACTTTAGTAAATCAACTCTTCCTCGCCATGGCTAAGAGGCAAATCTGATTTGTTGCTCTTTCTTAATTGCACAATGAGAGAATGATTCACATTTTTTAATTTGAAATCATAAAAAGTGATCAGGAAATTTGCAACCAGGAAATTGCTGCCTACCTCTACAGTTCCCCTCAGGTCTGGAGCATTTTATCACCTTTCAGGTAATTGCTTTGAGTTTACGGCACATCTGCTCATTGGATTCAGTCTCACAGCTCTGCTCAAACAAGTAGCAGCTGCAGGAAGTTATTTTCAACATAAAACTCCGACGAACCCACTGTACACTATTCCTGCGCAACCCAAAACAACACACAAGGTCTGCGACCAGCCGGTGAGCTTGGTGGAACATTTAGCATCTAAAGAGTCAGATGTTTCCCTCAGGAGTTGCTGGACTGTGAGTGGAAGAAGAGGGAATATTAGACTTATACCCTCCAGGTGGCCAGACATGACTTTAAAATAAAGCTAATGTTGCATCCGCATCTGTTGGATGTTATAACAGGCTGTTCCCCAATGCATGAGCCGTAACAATTTGGAGATGTGCATCAGTGTCACAGTTTGTTCCCAAATAAGCCAACAATCAATCAATGCCTTTTGAATATCAACTTGCCAATACACGGATTATCAATAGTAGTACCATCATCAGCAGTAGCAGTAGTACTGTACAATGACAGTAATAAAACCACTTATAAATTGTAGAGATACAAAAATTCAGTACAACATACACACAACATGCAAATGGATGGAATGTTGATGGCTATTTCATCAGTTCAACTTCAAACTAAATTGTTTCGGACGCTAATGTAAACATGCTCCCACGTACCAATACATACATTGATGCTCACATACCAGCAGCAATTTGAGGACCTGTGTTGCTAACTGTGTGTCAGGGACTGACCTGGGTGCCAATGAGCAGGTAGGGGACACTGGGTGCATACTCCTGCAGCTCGGGCACCCATTCCTCTCGCACATTCTGGAAACTGGCAGGGTTAACCACAGAGAAGCAGATGAGGAAGACATCGGTCATCGGGTAGGACAGCGGCCTCAGGCGGTCGTAGTCCTCCTGCAGGGAAACAGGACACTAATGGTTAACACTGACAGCAGAGAGAGGATGAGAGGTCAGGATGGAGGGGGGGGGACAAAAGAGCCAATGAGAAGATATAATTCATTTCCTTTTGTTAACATCTGAGAAATTATTATTCATGAATTATTAAAGCGTATTAAAGAAAATGAGCTCCAAACGCAGCCAGGCTGTTCCTCCTCAGAGGAGCTGAGAGAGCTAACTTTACACTGTGTGCACTTAGGTAGCTCTTTGGTTGTTTAATGCAAATGATGTGGACTACTGTAATATTACACATAAACAAACCGCCCTTGGAAAAGGGTTATGAAGAGGAAGAATGTGAAGATGACCTTCACACGAGCGCTCCCTTCCTCATGAAAAAATATTTTTTCTTACATCTGCAGTCCACTGAGGCGAGCTGAGTACAAGGCATCGCCACAAGACTCTGGCGACACACTGCCATCTCTGATATTTGTGTGGCGTAAATGGATAGTTCACAGTTTCGAGACTGCCCTTTGTGCGTCAGATCAAGCGCGGCCTTGTCCCCGCACAAGATAAACCCTTCTGACAGAGTCTCCAACTCGCACACATATGAATATTCATGACCCGTCTCACTTCTTCATCTGATGGTTACATAGTTTTCTGCTGCAAGCTGGAAGACATAGGAATCCATGAATCTCAAGTAATCAGACATGACTCAGGCGGACTTACCCGGACCACGAGAATCAATCTCACTCTCATGTCTTGGATATTTATCGTCCACATCCCTGAAAACAAAGCAAAGTGGATACAACGTCCCACTGTGCCAGAGATGCTTGTAATTGGACAGCTCAGAGCTGGCATGGCAGTGTTTCACTCTGATGCCTTCAGCCAAACACACACGTCATCACACTGCTATACCCACAGAGGCCTTCTCACAGAAATGATTCAAGTCAAATAGTCAGAAGATTCTGCAAACAACAGAGGATCAACCAAGTAAAGGTGTCACCTTCTCATTGCACAGCACCAATCTTCACGCCTGTGCTTGTATCGGAGATGACTCAAGTACACCTCACTGGAGTGGGTCAAGTGGATGATGTGGCTAAAAAATGTATGAGTTGCTCATCCTCTTAGTTCCAAATGAGTGAAGTATTCCACAGCGTCCGGAGCGGCCTCATGCACTACAGCTGCTTTCAGGCATGTACTGAACAACTAATCTCCGGAGGGTCTGCATGTGAGTACGCAAAATGTCAGAGTGAGAGACAGACAGACTTTCACCAGAGCTTCTCCAGCCAGCTCCCTTGGAAAAACTCAGAGGAATGTCCTAAAGAGCCAGAGTGAGAAAACTAGTGCTCGTGCGTGTTAATGGTGTTTCGAACACGCGACATACACATAACTGAAAAGAACAAAATGCATACAAATGCCTAAGGATAAAAAAAAAGATGTAAAGAGAGCTTTTGGTGATAAGGACCAACACCAGTGTTGATGTGCCTTAAAGAGAACTTGCGATCACATGTGATCAGTATTAATATGTTACCTCCTGCCTCTGCCTGCTGCACCACCCCTCACCTGAACACTCTGGAGATTTCTGTGCCGTTGTAAGTGTCAGAGAATCTCCTGCCGATTTCTTCATGCGTGAAAGGCAAACTCCAGGGAAGGTCTACCCCCAATTGTGCAGAAATTCTGCAGAGTTCATGTCTGAAAACAGCTTATCTCTACTTCCTGATGTGATAATGCAGAATCAGAATTAAAAACCGTCTGATGCTTCAAACAAGCTGAGAGGATTTCCATATTCCATGATTACTGTGGTAATTTGGTTTGCACTTTAACAGCATGAGCAGCTAGTGCTGTCGACATACTTTGTTCATCAACATTGTGTCTTTAATATTCACATTTATTTGACCTTTTCACCATTGTTAAAGTTTCACATTTGATATAGTGTTGGTGCTATATCTATATATATATATAAACATTTTCAGCACATCATGCCGTGATAATATTGATAGATAATTTTGGTCATTTATAATCATGATACATTTTTCACATTGTTTCATCTCTAGTTTGAAGTGAGCCGATTCCGATTTTGCCATACAATATACCATGTACAATATGATGTCATGGATTTAACTTGAGACATGACTGTAAGAAATGTGGGACTCACCCACAACAGGGAATAAAGTCAAAATATCTCAGCCTCCACTGCACTTCTATTATATTTTCATTTATAATTTCAGAGAGTATAGGTAATCGTAGCCAATGCTGCAAATTGTATGTACTCTGGTTGCCAACAGTGTTACATACTGTAGCTGCCTCATCTGAATTAAAGAGGACCTCTGCTTATAATATAAGATCCATCATTAGGATGATGAAGCTGCAGTGAAACCACAGAGTCGTGTTGCATCACAGAGCAAAGATTGCAGATTGTCTGTGTGATTCAGCTCAGCAGCTGATACATATATATATATATAGACACAAACACAGGTTTGAACAGCTATCCTTATTAGGACTTTTTATTGACCATCATTCATTGTGGACAGCCTAAAAGAAACCTTATCTCCAAGCATAACCATCACCTGTTCATGCCTAACAGAGACCCTGACCTAACCACAACCACAACCGTAACCAGGAGCTCAAAAAGGAAGTTTTGCTTCATTGGGACCAGTCTTTGCAATAACGAATTGCAGTAGAGCTGCAGTTCACAATTGTCCTGCTCAAACATCATTCTCTTCTCAGTATTACATAATACTTTCCACCCCTGTCAAATACGAATGCACTTTATCTCATTACATTTTGTAGTCCAGGCTCACACCTATACTACTGCAACTCCCCCCTGGCTGGTCTACCTGCTAATGCCATCCAACCTCTGCAGCTCACCCAGAATGCAGCAGCTCAACTGGTCTTCAACCCACCTTAGTTCACTCACACTACTCCGCTCCCTTCAGTGGTTACCAGTGGCTCTCATCTGTTTCAAAACACTAGTACTTGCCTACCATGCTGTGAACGGATCAGTGCCCAGTGTACATCCAGGACACATAAACCTTACACCCCAGCCTGTCCACTCTGCTCTGCATCTGCCAATCGTCTTGCTGCTCCCTCGCTGCGAGCAAACCACTCAACAAAATCACAACTGTTTGCTGTCCTGGCTCTCAAATCGTGAAACGATCTCCCCACTGACATCAGGAGAGCAGAAAGTCTACACATCTTCCTCCGCAGACTAAAGACGCATCTCTTCCGACTACACCTTGGTTGAGAAGATGATGTCTAACAACTATCGTCAACAATTCTTAACTTTAGTTACTTATATATTGCACCTACATGTAGCACTAGTAGTTTGACTAATTGTACTTACATGATTCGTGTTGTACTGGGTTTGTACCCTCATGGTTGAATACACTTATTGGAAGTCGCTTTGGATAAAAGCATCAGCTAAATTATATGTAATGTAATAATGTATGTCAATTTCTTTGGAAGAGCATGTATGTATCACACCATGCATTTACAAACACAATGTGCCTTCCTATGAATATATATATATATATATAAAATTATTATCTGTCACATGGATCAACTCCTCTGTGTGTTAATGTGTCTGAATTCATGACCTTTGCTTGCACAAGTGAATCCTCTGATTCCCCAATGAGCCCCAGACATAAAGGAACACAGTGTAAGCCACTCAGCAGTTTACTGTAAACAGGCCTCTCTGCCTCTCACACTGTTTCCTCAGTGCACCCCTGACACATTACCATAGACAGTAAGCCCGTCAGCCACACAGAGTGGATTCACTGAGGCACAGACTGAGTTTATCCTCCTACGTAGCTCCAGTCTTAAATTTGATTAGCACCCCACAAATGTTTGCACTCTTGCTGTTTCAGTGCTTGGGATGAAAGTTTGCACCAGAAGCACGGCCTGCTATTCAACAGTTTGTGTGCACGTCACTGACACATTGCATAACAGTCTCTCCAAGGCAGTCAGGAGTGTAGAGTAAATATTTTGGCCAGTGAAGAAAGGACTGACAGAGACTAAATGAAATGAGAGACGGTGTAGTGTGTGTTTGCTGGAATCCTAAACACTAACCTCTCTACATACATTTACATCATGCAGGGTAAGACTCAGCGTCTTCATTTGGACACTGTGTGCGCTCCACTGTGTGACTGTGTTGACTCAGTGACATATGAGTGCTATAATATCAGTGAGTCATTCCTGACTCCATCACCCCCCCCTTCTCTCTCTTTCTTCTATCTCTTTCTCTCTCTCCTTTTCTTCCCCTATCTCGTCCTCAGGGCTCTATAAACTGGCTATGTCAACAGAGTCAGAGACACCGTCTGTAACATGGCCGCCGTTGGGAACGCAGGCTCAGAAATAGACGCTTCATATCTCAAAGGTCTGTCACTGATCTAATATCTGAATTTTGCGAAACTGCATTTAACCACAGGAGTGAAAATATCTATGCATGCTTGTTTCTTCTTTACAGGCTCATTAATGGTAATTAATAATCATTAATGACAGCACCTGCACTGATACAGTGCAATTATTCGTGCCTTTGTTACATCCAGTCATGCTCTATTCAAAAATCAAAAAGTTTGACATTGCCTTTAATGGCAGTGGCATACACATTACAGAAATAAAGAGATGATCTAGACGTTTCCAAATTTTCAATGATGAATTAAAATAAAGCATTTTGAGAAATATTTAAAAGAATAATTTCACTCATTTTACCTGCAAAGCTTCGATTATTCACCATAAAATGTGCCAACAGTCCCTGATTATGTCGTTTGGACTTTTTTCAGCTTCAGCTCAGACCACATGTTGTCAAATGATGAGGCTGCAATGTGCTGTATTTCATTTCCTCATGACAAGACTAAAAACCACAATTAACTGATCCCACTAACAAGTATAGTCTGTGTAGCTGAAGCCTGAATCATCATAATCCTCTGTGCCGCAGAGCTCTGTGAAATCAGTGAGTCAGTGTTTCTTCTGATTGTCTTACACACATACTTCCTTTCTCCAAATACTCCAGTTTGAGCAACGTCTGTGAAAAACTAGTACCCACTAGTATATATGTGTGTGTGTGTGTGTGTGTGTGTGTTTTTTATCGGCTAAATGTAAAAACTAAAGAACAAATATTAATGAAACCCATAACATATTTGAGTGGAGGTTGGTGGGAGTACAGAATGTGTTCTCCAAGCATCCTTAATAATTTAGAAATATAAACCATATAACCACAATGTTAAATTAAATAATAATGGTATTCAAGTTTTCACACAGAGACTTTTTACAAGAAATGGTTTTAAAAAAAAGGGCAGAAGCCTCTATAAGAGTTTATCTTGTCTTTTGTCTAACTAAGTGCCACAAAATATCCCTGGGGCCAGTGGACCCCTGAGCAATGGGGCAATTGGCCACTTGGCCTTGGTCTCAAAGAGAGTGACATTTTTTCACTGTTCTGAACATTTTTACACAAAAAGATGAATCAATTAACTGAAACACTCATTAACTCATTACATGAGTAAAATACTCACTTGCAGTACTGAAATGGTTCCTACTACCAAACAAACGGACTGAGGGCTGCTCTGAAGTGTAAAGTGTTATGTTGAACGTGTGAGCTGAGGCCTGTTGAACGTGTGAGCTGAGGCCTGTTGAAAGTGTTCCTGTTCCTCTGTGTCTGAGTAGCAGAGTGGTGACATGCTGCCAGCTGAGTAAACCCATTTCCAGTCTCCACCTTCCAACCCTCACCCCTAAATCCACCTGCCCACCCTCTCATGCCCACTGGGACATCTGAGGGGTGCTGAGAGATTCTGTACCAAACACAGAAGGGAGAGTGTGACGGTCGAGTGAGAGAATTTGAGGGGCCGAGGAAATGAAGAACAGTCCGGCTACAGAGAGTCTGTACTTAAAGTGTTTCCATGGCTACAACAGCTCTGAGCATCCACTTCCTGTTTCCTCCTGCACCTCCTCAGGCAGCCGCGCTGGATTTCCTTGAGTGCAGCAGGAGCAGCAGCAGCAGGAGAATGGATGAATAAGTAAAGACTTTCCCCTCTGTTCCTTCATCAGATTCAGCCAAACAGACTTTGCAGACCTTCCATATGGAATAATTTAATAGGCAGCGGCTGGCGGAGCGACGTGGCAGCGTACAGACAATAGCAGGCGGGGGGAGGCCGTAACTGCGGCAGACAAAGCTGGCTAAATGCAGAGTCGTGATTATGTGGCCTGACATGTAACACCGGCGTGACGGCATGAAGGAGCATCCGATGAGAGCATGACGGCAGCGAGTATCTGTAAAGCTGCTAACGTTCTTGTGGAGCAGCAAAGCACTGTGGGAGATGGTGCAGGGAGATATTTAAATTAAGGAAAGCGAAAGAGATAGTAAAATGAAAGTAAGACGACTGACTTTATCCAGTTTCTGAGCAATGCCCCCCCCCATCTGTCTCTCCCTCTCTTCCTCTTTCTGTCTTCCTCTCACTCTCTCCCCCCTCTCTCTTTGGGGCGCCAGGTCTTTGATCAGATGCTGCAGCTATAAACATTACCAGCTGGCCTTGTGCTCCACATAAAGAGGTCAGCCGAGTTGGAGGCGGAGGGTGGAGGGGCTGCATTTTCAAGAGCAGTAACTCTACCCTCAGCGGCCGGCAGCACCCGCAGAAGACATCTGGGAGAACTTCTCCATTTCAGAGCCGTTCTGAATCAGCTAAAAACAAACCCTGCTCTGACACACACACACACACGGTATCAAACACACCAGAATAGACAATAAGGTTGTGTTCCTCCTTCCTTTTTTTACAAACGAGTAGTAACACTTCTACCATCTGTTTTCTGCCACAGGTAGCTGCGTGGCTGGGAAAGACGGAGGATGACAGTGATTTGCTATTCATGGACTTTGTGCATTCAGGCTTCATAAATGAACAGACGAGACAAACGGCTGAATATTCCCCAGTTGACCTTCCAGTGCTCGGCTTTCTTTTCCGAGCAGCTGCTAACATTTCAGATTGTGACTCATTCTGACTTCACACAGTTAAACCTGGTCCTGAGGAAAGTGTTAACTATTCAACATGGAGGTTGCTGGAAAGGTTGATGGTCTCGAGGCTGAGAACGGGTGCAGTATAGAGGAGTCCAAACTTAAAGGTATAAACAAATAAAAGTCATAATTACATTACAGCGTTTCTCGTCAAAACACACTTTTGCATCATGAGGTAAATAAAATGTGCTGAATCCATTTCCTTCCTCATACATTTTTGGGAAAGTTGATTTTTAAAAATATTTTGAGTTGTGCAATGTTTACATCCAGCTTTTTGCTAGCTTGTAGTCTTCTCTCTTTTTGCATGTTACTGCTTTCAAATGTCAATCAGCGAAATCAGCACTACACAGCAGTACAAGTGGCCAAAACTCCACAAAGTGCCTTTAATGTTCATGTTTCAGGTTAAAATACAGGAAAATCTTCTTTTCAGAAGACACCTGATATGGGCATGCAGACTAATGTACCTCTGAAAGTTGTGAATTAATGATTACAAGTTACATCTAACATAGGGCTCCTTAAACCTGCAACTTAAAGTCCTAGACTTAAAGATATTCTATCACGTATGATCATGAAAATCAGCAAATACTCCCATTTGAAAACCTGAAAGTCGTCAATTTTGCAATTTTTGCTTAAAAATGACGTTAAAAAATTAAAAAACTTTACAAAGCTTTGGAACATTTTCATTTTCCACTTGACATTTACATTTTGTGATGGAATCTTCAAGTCTAAAGTGAATCAAAATGTTTCAGTCATTCAGCAGCCAAACACTTGTGACCTTCTCTCAATTAGAATGGAACACTGTCCAGAAAGTTTGTCCCAACACTGTTACACAAGTTCCCATAAATGTGCTGCACTTGTTTTTTGCTTTCTTTGACCTTCAGTCCAGTTCACCCCAAACCAGCTGAGCTTCCCTTCATCATGTGAAGCCTCTGACTATTTGTCTTATGTTTTGGGTCATTATGCGACTGTAGGACGAAGCTTTGACCAACCATGCGTCTTCCACTGCCTTTTTCTCATCATAGAAAAAGAAACCAAAGTTCTACTTCCTGTTTTTCTGGCTAACAATACATCAGAGAGTGCAGTAACACAGTTTAATCTAACACCGGGGGTTTGCAAGTCATCGACACATGCAGGAATTGTTGCTTTAACTTTCAAGGCTTCATTTAATTCCACTAGTGCAGAAAAGCTTGAATTTAATTCATTTCTTAATCCCTGAATAGGCCTGGTTCTTTCAAATTTGCATAATTTGTGAGTTTTTGGTGACTTTTGATTTCACCTTGGCAGATTACCACTGTCATTTTTACCATTCCAGGCTACTCACTGGATTTGAAATTAATTAATCATTCCTACAGTTTATATAAGTGCACTTTCTCTACTGTCAACTTTCTGACCCAACTTTAATGGGCTGTTTCAGGGTTAACACTTGGTTTTAGGGTTAGTGTTACAGTTAGGTTTAGGTTACGGGCTAGGCAATGCATTATGTCAATGAGTTTCCTCACTAAGATAGATGCACAAACACGTGTGTGTGTACATGTATGCAAGGGCTCAACTGCTGAGTGGAAGCACTATTGTGTGAGTGTAGCACAGTGCATATGCAGTTTTAACTCTTGCCTGCTGAATGGCACATTGTAAAGTAAAAGCCCAGGCATTAGCCGGCCCTGTTAACAAACCTGTGACATCACTACTGGACATAGGAGCCCTGTTCTCCACATAATAGAACTATTGAAACCCCTCCACTACCATAACTGTCCATGGCACACCAGACCGTAGCAGCAAAGTCACAAACCATCACCTGTTGCAGCTTAGCGTCTGGCCTGAATGTGAAGCCTGTGGGCGTGTTGGGTAGTTACTGGTCCCAGGAGCACATGGGGAGGCCGGGATAGAGATAGAGTGGGATACGGAGTGTGTGTGCGGGCATGTGCGTGCATGTGTGGTGCGTGTCCTTGACATGCTTGGCACCCGGCCAGAGTAGAAAATAAACTGTACCTGACCGGCTGTGTCATACAGTCCCAGCAAGTACTGTTTTCCACCGACGTTGACGCTCACTGCAGGAGAGAAATGACAAAGAGCAGTTGAGAGGAGGAATGAGAAGGGGTGAGGTTGGGGTGGGGGTGAACAGGGAAGGAAAGAGAAGACGAAGAGAGGGAGAGAGAGAGGAGAGGGGGTGGATCAGGGTCCCCCAGCCCCTCTCTCTCTCTCCCTCCCTCCCTCTCTCTGCTGTGAAGAAGGCAAACAAGTGGTTTTGATTATAGCAACAGATGCAAGCCAATGCAGTTGGAGTAAGACACTCAGGCATTTTGTTTATGAATCCTCTGATGAGAATGACTCCAGAGGAAATCATTAGACAACAGCAGCTCAGCACATCACGGTGTTATAATCACCATCATCATCATCATCATCATTATTATTATTGTACAAGGAGGATCAGAATTCATACCTGCATAATGATCAAACACTGTGGGGACATACTCCTCTGGAAAGGCGTCATTGGCATAGCTCATCAGAAGACACGTTTTGCCCACAGCACCGTCTCCCACCACGACGCATTTCAACATGATAGTGCCGGTTCCGTTTGCCATGATGATCCCGACCTTACCACCACCATCATCATCCCCGGCCCCCTACGCCCTGTTGTCCCGACCTCCTCTTCCTCCTGCTGCTGTTGCTGCTGCTGCTGCTGGGCGGTGATCCCGGCGCGGCGGGCGGGCATCACCAGCTCCGGAGGCGGACTGCGCGGCGCTCGGAGTCGCGCTGGAACCGCATCCTTCTCCCCACCTCCTCCTCCCCGCGGTACTCCCAGAAATTCGCCGTGCAGGAGTTCCCTCTTTTTCACGGCTGGCGAAGCGAGCCGGGGGAGCCCTCGGTCGTAGGAAGGTGTCGATAGGGTTCCCACGAAACAAGGGACAAGTGGCGCTATCTGCGCGTCGTGCCTGCTCCCCGGTGCGTCCCCCGCGCCTGTGCGCTCTCTCTCTCTGGCGCACCGTGCTGCTGCTGCTGCTGGAGGACAAGGTGGGTGCACTTGGTGGAGAGGCGGAGCTTGGGTTTGAAACCAAGGGGCTCTGGATAAAGTACACCCCGCCTGGTGGGGACGTTCTGGACCAAGGACTGAAATTACATCACTGATGCGAGAAAGATAATAGACACACATAAGAATTATGTTAGTCCCTCTATCAACTCATATAAACTCACATTAAGACACAGTGTGATAGCAGAGGAGATACAATAATATTCTTTATATATAAGTATAAACCAATGCATTTACCAGTGAATAGGGCACAACACAGGGCTGATATACTGATGTAATCTGAAGTTGTAATAAATCCATACAGGAATATCTTCGCCAAATTAACAGGAGGTCATTTTAAAGTCATGTCCTAGTAGGAGTAGTAGGAGTAGTAGGCCTTCTGCAGTCTCACTCATTCCCCATGTATATTGATTTAACTTTGACTAGATGTGCATCTGTCTCATACAGTCTTGCCTATAAGTATAAACTCCACCTGTTAGTTTAGGGTTGTAACTTAAGTCTAACTCTGATTCTAAAATTAGGGAACTCTGCTTTTCACATGACTTTGTGGTCGAGGAGATGAACAGATGATCCATTCTTACTGTGCAAGTGTTTGTGTGTGTGTGTGTGTGTGCGTGTGTGTGTGTGTGTGTGTGTGTACAGGATGGATGGGATATGTGAGATGGGAGCGGGTGGGGAGCTGCAGATGGAGACGCCACAGGAGGAGGGAGGTATGTGTTTATGAAGGAAGGAGGAGGGTGGGGTACGGGGAGTTGACCTCTGCGGAGCTCTGCAGGCCAGGTGTGGGCTGTCTCCTTGAATTAGCACACTCATAGCCATCTTAATAAAGCACGTCCTTCTGCAAACAGAGGGGGAGCGAGCATGCACATGCCACACGTGGCTATCATTTTTCTCTCTGTCTTAATGGCTCCGCTCTCGAGGCCAAATGTTCCTGAAGTGCGAGTCACGAACTCCGGAAAGCTCCAGGGGATCCCTAAGCCAGCCAACAAGTACTTCATGTAACAAGGAAACAGGGGTAAATCTTACCGAGCATGACTCAGCTTCGTAATACACATCTGCTCATAAGCCCTGTAGTTAAAGTAAGAACATGTAAATCTTCAAGTAAATGCCATCCTTTATTTTTTATCCACCTTTCTAACAAAACGTGGTGATTAAAATACTGTTGAAAAGACAAGTTATAAGAAATTCTTGTGTTCATAGATGACTCATACTTATTCACCAGCCATCTATTATAACAATAGCAAAACAAAGAAAAATACAAATGTCAAGCAAATTCACTACCATGAAAATGCCAAATTCGAAACAAGTCTTAGAGGACAAGACATCATAATTATACTCCTGTTTGTGTTTAGTTGTCTTCTCCCTGTCTCATTGTCTCCTAGTTAAAACTACTCTCTGTGCCCCCCCCCCCACAGATTCTGATGGAGCTCAGGGTTGATGGTCCCTAAACGTTTGTGAACTGTCCAATCAGCTACAGGGGGGCGGGGTCGAGGATTCTCCTGCTATCATCACATTTGACAGCTGCTGCAGCAGCTCACATGACCAAACAACAATTACCTCATACATGTAGTACTCCTGCTGAAGGTGTTGCACTGGAGACATGGCTCCCTGTGCTGGGCAGGGATGGGCAGGCGAGCAGCCAGGGGCGGGTGGGGGAATGGTTGGGGGGCTTTGAGCTGAAATGACAAAACTCATTTTCCCTGATGGATGCTATGCACTGTTCTGTCACTCCAGGATTAGTGAAGAGATAAGATATAGGCTTCAATCAATGCTCAGTGCAAAGGAAACAACCACCAGTGTGCTGTATTTATAGCATCACAGAGCTTTATATATAACCACATGTGTGATACTGTTTTTTACATGAGTCAAGACTGGACAAACTAAACACCTTTTGAGGTTTTATGACTGAAGACTACCACAGTTTCTTTTCATGTTTGGAAGGGGAGAGTGAGGTGAGGGGTGTTCAGCTGCAACATGAAAGTTCAACACTAGATATCACAAAAGTCTACACACTGTACCTTGAAATCATCCTAATTTACTGTCTTCAGTCTTATCTATATCTCCATTTAGGAAGTCAATTAAAAAATGTTTCTGAATGATCTCATACTTTTGTGTTAATACTAAAAGTTGTATTTTGTGGTCCTTGATAATAAGTTTCCAATGTCACTTTTACCATCCACACATTTTCCCTCCTATGCTATCTCAAGAACATTCCTGTTAGATTCTTGTGAGAAGTTACACGTCTCAGAACTCTGCTTGTGAAGGGCAGATATTGCATTCACGTGGTGTATCAGGTTTATTATCTTGCTATAGAGTAGGTTAGCTCTGGCAGGTACCAGAAGACGCTGCCGCCCAGGAGTTCATTAATGAGCCGCTGACCTTATTTCCCATGTGGTTGACATTTAATATCAACTGTCTATTTCTGTATGGAGCTGCATTTAAAGGTGGAGCTTCAATAAAATGTAATGGTTTGCAGCATTGTGCATTTCAGCATATTCACATGTAGGCAAGAAATGTAAACACGAGACATCCCTGTTCCCTTTATGTATTCGCAACAGAGACAATGGAGTTTGTTTGAATAATAAATTGGGTTTAGGTGCATTTTATGCATATTGAATGAATGTGAATAAAATTACACATATTCAATAGTATAGTATTACATCAGTCTATTAGTAGGAGGAATGTAGTCTGGCCTGCAAGTGCTTCTATTTTGGGAAAAGCAAACAAATGCAAGAGCCGCTCACTCACATGTCGCCTATCCAGTTTCCAGATACTATCTTCCTGATCGTGTCACATGCACGTACGGTCACACATGTACACACATACGCTTCCTCCTTGTCTCAGACCAACATCAATCACTGTCTTGCAAGCAGGGGATTAGGCTGTGGACGGGAGAGAGTGTCGCAGTGCAATCACAAAGCTCTCAGATGAGCTCCTAAATTAGAGCGTGTGGCTAACGTGGACTCCCAGGGATGGTTTGGTTAAATTACAGGCCATATTTTTAGTGAAGGTCTGGGCTTCATCCCTGTATCTGCCAACAGCTGAGGACCATCACTCACACGCCTGTCTGCCCCCGGTTTGTTCAACACCGGGGCTGTTAACACTTGTGTATGTCTGAGTGTGTTTGGTGAGCAGGGGTAAAATAAAACCATTCCTCAGAAACAGTGGTTTGAGAGCTGTATTTGCATGTAACAACAAATAATAATTGACGAAGGATTGTTATTATTATTCTTTGGATCATTGTGTAACCGTCAGGCTGAAGGATGATAGGAGTGTGTAAATGTTGTCTGCAGCAGAATGTGGGTCATGTCAGGATGTCACGAGACACCTCGGACCACAAACACACACAACCCCTCATTACATGAGCAGCTCAGCTGATTACAAGCGTAAGACAACATGTCTAGAAGAAGGCTAATCGGGGACAAGGATGGCCCCTTATATCATTTTACAGCAATTAGAGACAGCTGATTAGCAGCATGAATATTTCTCTCATGCACATACAGTTTAGAGGGGAAGGTCCCTCTCACACTGACGTCTCAAGGTCTGGTGGATAATAACGTTTTTATGGTTACTCTCATGCACACACACTCTTCATTGTGAGCACGTCACACTGGGCTTAGTTTTCTCATAAAGGTAAATAGACTTCATGGCTATTTTTCACTTGTGTTTTCATATGAATCAAGATGGCAACCATTACATCTCGTATGTTTCTAAGAAAGATTGTTCAACAGTATTCCAAGAGTTGTTGACGGCTTGAAGAGGGATTGGGAAACAGATCAGAGTAACAGTGTGTCCCCTCAGACTCTGAGTCATCTGCTTTAGTTTTTTTATGACGTTAGTGTGTGTGTCTAGGGGGTGGGGGTGGGGGTGGGGGGTTGTTGTTAGTCAACTTGTGTTGTTCACTGTCTTTAATTGAAATTATTCATGTAATTGCCAGAAATGATCACCTGTTGTATCAGATACATATGTGTGTGTGTGTGTGTGTGTGTGTGTTTCCTTCGCTCTGTGGACTCGAGCAGTCAACAATCCAATAAGTATAATGTCCAGGTACATAAAGCCAACCTTTTTTTGTTTGCTGCTATTGGATGAGCTGATAGTGCTCATGTTTTAGTTGAAGTAAATTTGATAAATCATTCAGGTGAGCATGGCAACTAGTTTTCACTTTGGAGAGGCAAGACACGACAGTCTTCCGGAGGCCCTTTCTCATAATTTGATAATAATTTGCTGTACAATATTTTCCCAATGACTTGACTTCAAATATATACCCAAGACATTTTCCTTAGCATGTTAGCATGATGATGGAAACTTTTTACATCTGCAAAACATCTATTTTAGAATTGTAATTGAATGCATGTTGGGTGAGCATTTATCTCAAATTACTACTGTGTTAACCTGCAGCCTCAGAGCTACTGGCCTTTCTATGTAATGTACAGTAACTACTCATTTGGCTTTCAAAGCAGATTTAGCATGAATGTGTGTGTGGCCACAAAACAAATACAAGCCCAATGTTCAACCTGTGTTTAGTTTTGTTTTTGGTCTCTGGGGGTGGAAACTGAGCTGATGAGAGCACACAGATGTGCTGTAGATATCGAAAAACCCAAATCAATGAGTTGAAAGATGCAAAAACCTCTGCAGATCAGGATGAGCTGTAGAGTCCTGTGAAAACTCATGTGGTCCGTTGTTGATAGTTGTTGATACTCATTTATTAAGATTTATGTAAATTCATGTACTAATTCATGATTGATCATCACTTAATCTTGTCATCAATCTTTAAAAAGTCTGATGCACTCCTCCATACATTTGTTTAAGCATAAAATAATTTATTGCTCTGTTTGGCTTAATTCTGAGACTTTTGCCACTCCACAGAATTTCACCTTGTTGATATTATGATATACATCTCTGGAAGAGACCACTGCAAGATTTTCTCTGATTTTACTATTTATAGGTAAGCGTTTAAATGACATTA